ACTGCTGTAAACAGTACCATTAGGAGTCAATGTTGTGTTTTAAAGTTTTCTTACCAGCCAATCAAATTCAAGTATTATCAATAGAGGTATAATAATCAGCAATAATCAGGAGTGCCACTATCACACATGAACCCCTGACCCTAGGTCTACACATTGCACAATTTTTGAAAAGGCACACTTGCTTATCAAAAATGTTCCCAAGGAGCAGATTTCAAACAATACGCAAGTTTCGAGATTATCTCACTTGACCATTCACGGTAGCTCAGTCGGTAGAGAGCTCGCTTTGTGAGGGGAGGTTGTGAGTTTGTATCTCGGCCGCGACTGACCTAGTCGTTAAAATTGGTAGCAACTGTTTCTTTGCCATGCGCTCGGCACTTTGAAGTGAAAGTTGCGGGTCCTTCGGATGAAACCTTAAAAACCGAGGCCCTGTGTGCGTTGGCACGATAAAGATCCATCACTGCTCAATGGCCCTGAGTGCCGAGTAAAGGTCAAAATTTGGAAGCCTTTCACCGGCAAGTGGTGACGTTTCCATATGAGTGAAAAATTCTCGAGAGGGACGTTAAACAATATACAATTAATCAATCAATGTCTCCCTTGATGCACTCTTTTGTTAAAGAGAGGAGTTTCATTGCCACATAAACAAAACAGGTGGGACAGATATTTGATACTGTGTATGTTGGATACACTGCATCATCGATATACCGGTTTATCATAACTACACGATTGTTAGGATGCACTCTACAACTTGAGAAACTTGAGAATAACCGAATTAAAGTAAAGGCATCATTTTTTAAGCAAAATAATCGAAACAAAGAAGAAAATATCACTGGATGCGAGACTTTTCCGTCGAGAGAAATACAGTAGCACACATGCATCTGATCATTGCAGGTCGGGAATCTAAATGACATATTGATTTTTTCCATATCATAACTTATAAAATATTAACTTTTTAGAAAATGTTCGTACAATAAAGAAAATTGGTTTCTATTTATAAAGACTACGACTTTTTTTTGTTTGTAAATACCCAAAAATTGTTAGTAGATTTGTAAATATGCATAGTTGAGCTTGCTAAAATCATCAAATGCATCACTGCCTAACATTATTATCTTTCTATAACATTTAATAAATTTTAAAAGCCATAAATATCGTTCTTTTATCTATGCACTTTTGTATACAACCTGTCCCATCTCCATGCTGAAATGGGTACTTTTTGCGCCTCTAACGTAGGAGAGTTTCAATCTCGAAACTCGCATATTCATTTTCAGTATATAAGAAGACCCCCCCCCCCCTTTGGTATCCCTGACCCAGGGGCCTTGATATTCACAATTCTGGAAGAAGAGCCCTTGCACATCATAACTATATATTAGTTCATCTGCTTATCACCAAGGAGTAGAGAAAAAGATTTTCATAGACAAAATGTTTTATCACTATATGATCTAGTGATGAAACGATTGTCGCCGACGATCGATTGTTGATCGTTTTTTGGTGTTCAATTCCGATTATCAATTACCTTTTTCATAATCGATTGTCGCCCAAATATACTCGCCCAAATAAACGTGTACGATTTGAACAAAACAAATACGCACGCATTAACAATGCATGTAAAAACGAAAAGGAAAGAGGTCAACAAAAATGGCGCCCAAAGACGAAGTTAACAACAATTAATTAGATAGAACATTCTGAAATTGTCCTCGAGCCCTGTTTAACGAGAATTCATTCCGTGTATTTGCAATGTAGCAAAAGAAACACGGGCGATAAGTCATACATTTACTACGGACAATCTAGAGAGTTCCGAATGTAAACATGGCAGGTAAATTTGAAGCAAAGAAAAACGTTGAGAAATTAATTGGCTTTTCATCTTTATATGGATTGTTTTTGGGGATAAAAGGCATAAGCAATCTCAAACATAGGTAATCAAAGATTACAGAGCTCACCTCAGCGAATGTTGTCTTTAAGTAAGGCAAAGTCACACAATTAACCAACAAAAAGTGTACATTCAAAAATGCAAAATTTATGCAATTTTGATTTGATACTTTGGAATAGGCCTATATAAAAACTTCAAACTGGTTCTTCAACATGAAAACCTAATTAAGATCCAGCTTCTGAAGCAACTTTGAGAGTTTTCACCCCTTGATGCATCACTTGTGCAAGTTTGGTTTATATAAGCCTTATAGTTTCTTGGTAATAGCTAGACCTGCACCCATAACAAGGTATTATTTAATCTCGGAATAATTATTTATCTTGGAATTCAAGTAAATCATCATTTCAGGTGTAGTGCCTATATGTAACCTTAGTTTTTCTCGAATTATCAGTTTCCACTGTAGTTGATGATTAAGTGGGTAAGTGTATATGGGTACCAAATAAGTATAACTGAAATATGTTGATTAAGTGGGTAACTGTGTATATGGGTACCAAATAAATTTAATTTAAAATATTGCAAAGTTGTTGGTTTTAATTTCATGATTCATGTTTCTGTTCTGTTTCATCTTTCCTGGCCCAGTGGTTCTTGAGAAGAAGATTTTTGAAGATTTTTCCTATATATTCCTATGTAAAACTTTGGTCGGCCATTTTGGCCCCGCCCTACTCCCGGGTGTCATGACTTGAACAAACTTGAATCTACACTACCTGAGGATGATTCCACATGAGTTTCATCTTTCCTGGCCCAGTGGTTCTTGAGAAGAAGAAGATTTTTGAAGATTTTTCCTATATATTCCTATGTAAAACTTTGGTCGGCCATTTTGGCCCTGCCCTACCCCCGGGGGTCATGACTTGAACATACTTGTATCTACACTACCTAAGGATGATTCCACATAAGTTTCATCTTTCCTGGCCAAGTGGTTCTTGAGAAGAAGATTTTTTAAAAATGCCAATAATTTTTTATCTCTAATTCATGATTATCTCCCCTTGGAAAAGGGCGTAGACCTTCATTTGAACAAACTTGAATCCTCTTCACCCAAGGATACTTTGTGACAAGTTTGGTTGGAATTGGCCCAGTGGTCCTTGAGAAGAAGATGAAAATGTGAAAAGTTTACGACGACGACAATGCCAACGCCAACGACAGACAATGTACAAATTGTGATCAGAAAAGCTCACTTGAGCCGTTTCCTGTTACACATTTTTTTTTAGATCAAGTAGAATACAAGACTTAGTGTGAGGATGTCCTTAAAAAGTGTGGTTTATTTGATCAGAATTCTTTGCCTTATACATCTTTCTAACACTTAAGTAAACTTTCGTTATTAATATCGCAATATTAATCATAAATAATTATACTGAATATATTTTGTTGAAATTAACGCACTTTCTATAACAAAACATAAGATTTGGGGGGGGGGGAATAATATTCCTGATTAATTTTGCATTGTAATTTGTAAATTTAGATACCTGTAGCTATCCTATCACACACAAATTAGCATTTTTTTTTAAAATCAATGATTAATCTTTGAAAAAATTATTTATGAGCAAGTAAAATAAACGACTTAAATACACCCCCCCCCCCCCTCTTTTCACTTTCATCACAAGTTAAAAAAGAAATTTGACATGAGAAAACTCTACGACCAGGCGAAAATGTATGAGGAGGGATGTCTCTTTTATAGAATATAACTTTCAGCCGTAGGGTATGCCGGTCCATTAAACTCGATGAGAAGATTTTTAAGCAACAAGCTTAAGGTTTTATTTACCTGATTATCTCCCTTTGTTTAAGGGTCACAACCCAAGTTGTAGTACAAACGGGAGTGCCAAGAATACCCTGTGACAAATTTGGCAATGATTTTTTTGCTTTATTTAGCGTTTGTATTATCTCAAAAGTGGTTGAGAGTAAGTACTATATTTACACGTAACTTTAAATTGGTGACTATGGGTTGGACTTCCTGTCATAAACAGGCTGACAAAAACCTGCAATTGCTCTTTGAGCAATAAGCCCAGCTAAAAATTAGTTAGGACCTTGAGTAATGACCAAAGACCTAAAAACTTAGTTTAAAGGTCACAGCACACCCTTTACTTACAGGATCCACTGGGTGTAATAAGAGTCTGAATGAGCCTAGTGGAGAAAAATATGTTTTGATCTAGCTGCAATAATGTAGCCCTCTCCGATCTTTTTTTGGGGAGAGGGCTACAACTCCTTAGGATCTTTCTAATGGCGCAGATGCGGCAGTGGATCATTACCGTACGGATTTCGACTCAAATTATCAGTAAACAGCTATTTTATTATCATCTCTTACCTGGAATCCAAAAATGTAATTATATGCAAAACATAAATCAATCCAAAAATATTCACAACAATCCATATATCGGTTATTTTTCTTGTGTGTCAACAGCTTAACTTGAATTTATCCGCCATGTTTACTGACCTTGATGGATTGTATTTTGGGACAGCCAATAAGAATTTAGGTTCTATAGGAGCGGATCTACTAGGAATTCCCTTATTTTAAGGATACGCATCGCTGTATGCGCAAAAATAACACTTGAAATGGTTTTATTTATCGTTGCTTTTGTGATATATTATAGCACAATCCTTTATAAACATCGACATTTGCTTTATCTAGTTGTTCCAAATTTCAAGCGAAAGTCTCACTACGTCACACGTGAACTGTCATGGCTGCTGAATATTGCAGCTGGGAAAGACACAGATTTATTTTACATGGTTTTCGAGTTTAAAAGACTATGTTGTTGACAGTGAACAAAAATTCCGTCTTATAAGAAGTAAGTTTAATGTAAAAATAATTTATTTTGCCTTCAATCGCCCATATCAAGAAAATACATTTGCACCATTACGAAGATGCGATGGAATTGTAGCCCTCTCCAGAAAATAACAGATTAAAAAAATCGGAGATGGCTACATTATTGCAGCTAGTTTTGATCAAGTGGTATCAGATGAATAGACAAACAGCTAGACAGAGGAACAGACTAATCACTATAGGGTGCCGCTGAATGAGGATTCTAATCAACTGCAATGAATTCTGAAGAGTTGAATGTTACATGTGTTACTTACATATTTTACTTACATTTGTCTTCTGTACAACCATTCCAATAAGGCCATTTGGTGAAACAGAACTTTCAAAATAGGCTAGCAGTTCTCCAACGTGCTGGGCATATACATCAGACGACAGACCAGGGACTAAGCCTGTACTGGAACTTGCCTCCTCATTAACAGTTTCTAATGTTGATGCTGCTGATCGTAATTTTTTCTTAACTGGTGAAAAGTCTGCTCCTTCTTCAGGACTTTTTCTTTTTACCTATTTTGAAGATTCATATTCTTTAATCTCAAATATAATTTAAAAAAAGAAATTTAACTTTGATTATGCATTAATAAAGTCTTAATAGATATTTAAGCAATATTATAATATTAATCTCAAAAATAATTGTTCTCCATCTGTTCCCTGAAAACATAGGTATTGTACATAATTAAATCTGATTATTTTGCTATTTTTATTATACCACTATTACTTAGCTATACAGAACAACAATATTATTAAATCGTGCTGTTGAAAAGATATTAAGTAGAGTTTCATGCATGAAACACAGGAGTGCACCTTTGGTTCTTGTTGTGCTCAATTATTGTTAGCTCAGCATTTGCTCCTGCCCTTCTAATTAACCTTACACACTTTGGTGTGAAGGGAAGCCTTAATGAATTTCTCTCTTTTGGATAAAACTGGTCTGTAAGCTTTTAAAAATTTCAATAACCCATTCCTTCCATATAAATCCTAGAAAGAGAAGATTTCTAAAGATTTTCCCATACTATTCCTATACAAAACTTTGATCCCCCATAGCGGCCCCATCCTTCCCCTGAGGGTCATGTACACAACCTGAGAATGATTCCACATGATTTTCATATTTCCTGGACTCGCCCACATAGTGCAGTGGTTACAGCGTCTGCTCTTTAGAGTCGTGAAGCAAGGAGTTGATCCTTACGTCCTGGGTTTGAATCCCACTGTGGGACATGGAGACTGGTCTTTTGGATAAGACCGTATAAACCGAGGTCCTGTGTCGCAGTAGATGCTGGCATGAAAAAGATTCCTCCCTGCTCAATGGCCCTGAGTGCCAAGTATAGGACAACATTTGCAGCTCTCTGTCGGTAAGTGGTTGCATCTCTATATGAGTGAAAAATTCTTGAGAGGGGTGTTAAACAATGTACAATCAATCAGTCATATTTCCTGGACCTGTATTTGGTTCATGAGAAGATTTTATAGATCAATTTCTCATTAACTTGTAATTATCTCCCCTTGTGTTTCCAATAAAGTAAATTACATTAATGAAACAGCTAGTGAGACTGTCTCTCTACCATTAAGAATGTCAATCTATTCTAAGGGAAGTAACTCAAAATTAAAGATGGTGCTGGTATAGTCTATATCTGCATTTTCAGCTACTAGAGTAACTAGATGTCATAGGAAATGAGGATACAATAATGTATATATAATACATAAAATTTATGAAATAAAAGTTTTTGGAGAAATCTTATGGTTAAAAATTATACATGTCCTTTTATCAACATTTTACATAAGGTAACACTGAGAATAGTAAAAACCTTGATTAGACAAAGTCTAAAAAGGATGGAACCAATACACGTTCTAAGATCAATGCATATGAGAATTAAAATAGTGTAGAAAAAAATGCAACTTATGCTTTCTTTGTTTTTTAAATGCATTAACTTTTAATTTCTAGTAAACAAATAACAAAATAAGCTAAAACAAGAAACCCACAGGCCTTATAGGTCACCTGAGTATTGTGTAACAACTTTCAAACAAATAACTTTGGTTCGTGTTTTAAACCAGAAATCATGAAATTCACAATTTTGAAAGAGGCACTATTGCTTATCATTATTATAAACTTAGCATGCTTACTCTATTTACTTAATACCCAGAGATTGATCGGAGTATAAACAAAGAGAAAATGCATTTCCACTTTATAACCAGTTTTTTACCTCACCCAAAAAGAACCACTGACCCTGGGGCCACTTATTTCAAAATTTTGCAAATTTTATCATAAAATGGTTGATTAATACCAAAGAGCAGATTTCAAAGCATAAATTTAATTTCAGACTATGTAACCCCCCCCCCCCCCCGACCCAGGGGGGGGGGGGGGGGGGATAAAAAATAATCATTTCGCTAGATGCACCTTTTTTTATCAGAAATATATATACTTGGATCATTGGCATAAAACCCAGAAGCAAAGAAAAAGATATTCAAAGAATTAATGTATTTTCACTATATAATCAATAAAGCCCGCCCTAACACCATAATACTGACCCTGGGGCCATAAAATTCACAAATTTGGTAGAGGCAACTTGCTCATCATAACTATGTGCTTTGATAGTTTATTTAATACCCAGAAGCAGAGTAGAAGATTTTCAAAGAATATATGCATTTTCACTATATAATCAATAGGGCCCCGTCCTAACACCAGAACCCCTGACCCTGGGGCCATAAAATTCACAATTTTGGTAGAGGCACTCTTACTCATCATAACTATGTATTTAGTTGGTTTATTTAATACCCAGGAGCAGAGAAGATTTTCAAAGAAATAATGCATTTTCTCTATATAATCATTAGAGAGCCCCACCTTAACACCAGAACCCCTGACCCTGGGGCCATAAAATTCACAATTTTGGTAGAGGCACTCTTGCTCATCATAAGTATGTACTTAGTTGGTTTATTTAATACCCAGGAGCAGAGAAGAAGATTTCCAAAGAAATAATGCATTTTCACTATATAATCAATATAGGGCCCCGCCCAAACACCAGAACCCCTGACCCTGGGGCCATAAAATTCACAATTTTGGTAGAGGCACTCTTGCTCATCATAACTATGTACTTAGTTTGTTCATTTAATACTCAGGAACAGAGAAGAAGATTTTCAAAGAAATAAGGCATTCACTATATACATTTTTAGCCCCACCCTAGCACTAGTACCCCTGACCCTGGGGCCATGAATTTCTCAATTTTGGTAGAGGACTCAATGCTTATTACAATCATGCAAACAGTTTGACTGCTTGATGTCCAGGAGTAAAGAAAAAGATTTTTAAAGATTTCATTAATTTTAGTGGTTTTTGCCCCACCCCTCAGGCCCCAGGGGGGCAGGGACCATGAATTTCACAACTTTTGTTCCCCTTCACCCATAGATGCTTTGTGCCAAATTTGATTGAAATTGAATCAGTGGTTGCAGAGGAGAAGCTGAAAATGTTCAAATGTTAACGCACGACGGATGACGCTCGACGACGGACGCCAACGGATAGCAATAGGTCACCTGAGTTTACTCCGGTGACCTAAAAAAATTAATATACACTATATATGTATTACATAAGGTTTTAAACATAGAAACAACACAAATTGTAGCATTGCAATTCTTGACAAGAAGATTATTTCATGTGTCATAAAAGAATGTGACAGGTGAAAGACAAGGAGACAGAAAGTCATTAGATATAGATTGGTGAATAAAACTTTTAAAGAACAGAAATGGATTATATGATTTCCAACAAAACATCAAAATATAAGCAATTAAAACTGTCACAATGATCCAATTAAGGGGGCCGACTATAGTTTTAATGTGAGAAAACTACAATAGCGAAACTCTTCATTTTTATACCATGTATAACTTACATTAACTTCAGTGCACATGCAAAGTTTGAGGGAAATCTACCGTCCAGGTATTTTTGAGGGACCGTCTCAAAATACAGGTAAATTTACTACAGGATTATATAGGAAAATGCCAATTTTTAGCACTTTAAAGCAAATTATACAAATACTACAATAGACATTTTGTTCAAACTATAATATTTGTTGAGTAATACTATAATATACAATATATGTAAGAAACACAAAATTCTACCATCTTGTTACCAGAGGGGGCATCTCAAAATGCAAAAAATTAACAAATTTTACTAATTTTATAGAATATTACAAAATATGACGTACACAATGGATTCTCATGAAAACATAGTAAAATATTGGAGATATTCTCAAATTTCTATGTTTTAAATTTCAAGAGCGTATGCTTATTACTTTTTCTTTAATGATATTTTCATTACCCCTTTCTTTAATAGTTACAGATTACCATAACGTCAAAAACACACTGCAACGACGTCAACCTACCTATCAATTGCAAAATGGGTTAAAAAATCAGTTATATCAAATTGTAATTACATTTTAATACTTATAATTTCTTATTTTTGTTTATTTTTATTAATCAAGCGAAAAAAGTTGCATTAAAACAGTAAATACGCTTCATTTTACTATGATGCGCGAAATATTGCGCAATGGAAACTATAGTCGGCCCCCTTAAGGTGTGAAATGTCTTGAATTCTCTTTGTTTTTACTTTTTACTTTTTTTTTTTACCTCAGTAGATTTTTCCTGAAAATGTACAGTTGAATGAATTTCCTGAAATAATTTACATCAAATGATAAAGAATATATAAAATACTTGCAAACACATCTCTACATACTACAGATATTGAGATGATAAACAAGTTAAATGTCTAAACAATTAACTCTACCACTTCCATATCCCAACTATAGTTTAGATTTGAACTGTGAGAATACAAAACATATAATATCTTCTTATGTACACAAGGTTGTAACAGGGTATTATTTAATCTCAGAATAATCATAATGCTTCGGAATTTAATGCAAGAGGCCCAAGGGCCTTGAATCGCTCTTCTGATAAATTGTACAATCAATCACTTCTATTTGAAGCCTCTAACCCTAAGTATCGTAAGACCCAACTTGCATCCATTGACAAAGTTTGATGATTTTTAGCCCGACTTAAGACTGAGGATATTTTAATAAAGCTATACAAAAAACAAGAGGCCCATGGGCCACATCGCTCACCTGAGAAGCTTTGACCATTCTGTTCTTTACCAGATTTCCCCCTTGTTATACATAATGCATCCCCACCCTACCCCACTGATCATAATTTAGACATTTTGAAATCTACACTACCCCATGATCCTTCCATGGGCACATATGTTTCATCTTTTTTGGCCCAGTGGTTCCTGAGAAGAAGATTTTCAAAGATTTTTCCTATATATTTCTATGTAAAACTTTGATTCCCTATAATAGCCCCACCCTTCCCCCAAGGGGCCATGATTCCTACAATTTAGAATTTACACTACCCCAGAATGCTTCCACATAAGCTTCACTTTTTCTGGCCCAGTGGTTCTTGATTTTCAAAGATTTTACCTATATATTTCTATATAAAACTTTGATTCCCCATTGTGGCCCCAACCTTCCCCCGGGGGTCATTATTTGAACAATTTAGAAACTACATTATACCAGGATGCTTCCACATAAGTTTCAGCTTTTCTGGCCCATTGGTTCTTGAGAAGAAGATTTTCAAAGATTTTACCTATATATTTCTATATAAAACTTTGATTCCCCATTGTGGCCCCAACCTTCCCCCGGGGGTCATTATTTGAACAATTTAGAAACTACATTATACCAGGATGCTTCCACATAAGTTTCAGCTTTTCTGGCCCATTGGTTCTTGAGAAGAAGATTTTCAAAGATTTTTCCTATATATTTCTATGTAAAACTTTGATTCCCCATTGTGGCCCCGCCCTTCCCCCGGGGGTCATGATGTGAACAATTTAGAATCTACAATATACCAGGATGCTTCCACATAAGTTTCAGCTTTTCTGGCCCATTGGTTCTTGAGAAGAAGATTTTCAAAGATTTTTCCTATATATTTCTATATAAAACTTTGATTCCCCATTGTGGCCCCGCCCTTCCCCCGAGGGTCATGATTTGAACAATTTAAAATCTACACTACCCCAGGATGCTTCCACATAAGTTTCAGCTTTACTGGCCCAGTGGTTCTTGAGAAGAAGATTTTTTAATGACCCAACCCTATTTTTGTCTTTTCTTGATTATCTCCCCTTGCGAGGGGATATGTCCCTTCATTTTAACAATTTAAATTCCCCTTCACCCAAGGATGCTTTGTACCAAGTTTGGTCAAAATTGGCCCAGTGGTTCTTGAGAAGAAGTCGAAAATGTGAAAAGTTTACAGACGGACAGACAGACAGACGGATGGACAGACGGACGGACGACGGACAAAATGTGATCAGAAAAGCTCACTTGAGCCTTCGGCTCAGGTGAGCTAAAAAACAAAAGTAGGTCACATTAACCTACTTCAAGATTGAAATTTTCTGAGGACTCAAGATGCATTAATAGACAAAGATTGAAGATTCTAATGCCAATATCTGATATATTTAAAAGTAGGTCACTGTGATTGACTTTTTTGTCTATACTCTCCAAAAACCCAATATGCATAATTGACAAAGTTTGATGATACAAAGCCAATAAGTACTCGAAATAGCCATAAAATGTCAAAAGTACATCATTGCGACCTAATTTTTAGTAGATGATTTTCGAAAATTCAAGATACATCAACTGACAAAGTTTGATGATTCTAAGCCTCAGGCAAAACGATTGAAATTGTTGAAACTGAAAAAATTAAGTACCTGAGATATTCAAAAGTAGGTCAATGTGACCTACTTTTTGGTCGTCACTCTCTGAAAACCCAAGATGTATCAACTAAGAAAGTTTGATGATTCTTCACCAATAAAATACCAGAGGTTCTTAAATAAAGCCATAATATGTCAAAAGTAGGTCACTGTGACCTAATTTTTGGTCGACATTCTCTGAAAAACCCAGGTACATCAATTCACAAAGTTTGATGATTCTAAGCCAATAAGTATCTAAGATATATTCAAAAGTAGGTCACAGTGACCTACTTTTTGGTCATCACTCTCCGAAAACCCAAAATGCATCAATTCACAAATTCTGATGATTCTAAACCGATAATAAAACCAGAAATACTCAAATAAAGCCATAAAATGTCAAAAGTAGGTCACAGTGACCTACTTTTTGGACTTCATTCTCCGAAAACCCAAAATGGATCAACTGACAAAGTTTGATGATTCTAAGCCAATAAGTACCGGAAATACTTAAATAAAGCCATAAATTGTCAAAAGTAGGTCACCGTGACCTACTTTTTGGTTGTCACTCTTCGAAAACCCAAGATGCATCAATAACAAAGTTTGATGATTCTAAGCCAATAAATACCAGAGATATTCAAATAAAGCCATAAATACCCAAGTTACTTAAATATAACCATAAAATGTCAAAAGTAGGTCACTGTGACTTACTTTTTAAACATCATTCTCAGAATACCCAAGATGCATCAAATGACAAAGTTTGATTATTCTAAGCCAATAAGTACCAAAGATATTAAAATAAAGCCATAAATTGTCAAAAGTAGGTCACTGTGACCTACTATTTGGTCGTCACTCTTCGAAAACCCAAGATGCATCAATTAACAAAGTTTGATGATTCTAAGCCAATAAATACCAGAGATATTCAAATAAAGCCATAAAATGTCAAAAGTAGGTCACCGTGACATACTTTTTGGTCAACGTTTTTTGAAGTCCCAAGATGTATCTACTGATTAAGTTTGATAATCATAGGTCTCAAGGTAATCAAAATATGCCTTTTAAACAATTAGAAAACAATGCCTGCAAAGTTCAAAAAGTAGGTCACAATGACCTACTTTTTCAAAAATATGTTTTAAGGTTCCAAGATGCATCAACTTACAAGATTTGAAGATTCTAAACCTCTCAGTGTCTGAAATAATGGGATTAAATGTTTTGAGAAGGATAAGTCATAAAGTTCAAAAAGTAAGTCAAGGTGACCTACTTTTAAGTTATATAAATACCTAGGAACCACTAAAATAAATGCAGAACTTTTACCTCACAGATACTGAGTATTTTCATTGGATCATTCCATTTACTGCAGAGAATATCAGCCTTTGAGGAGATTTCTTGTCCAAATATTGTTGCACGCCCCGTTGGTAAATATGGTTGTGACCTACAATTCAAATATTTTTTTAAACCAGAAGTCTCTGTCAAGACTGTAGCTCTACTGGTTTGTACTTATAACAAAGAAAGAGAAAAGTAGCAGTTGGACTTGAAACTTTTCACCAGAAATAAACAGAACTAGAAAACCAACCAGTCAGCAAGGGTCCCACCAAGGGGTAGAACAATAAGGGTGCAGCTTACAGAATGAATTAAAAACCAGAAGTCTCTGTCGAGACTGAAGCTCTACTGGTTTGTACTTATAGCAAAGGAAGAGAAAGTACTTTAGCAGTTGGGAATTGAAATTTTACAACAGCAATAATAAAGTGCCCCGCCACAGCATGATACGCCCGTCAAATATTGTTCAATAATCATGAATTGGTTAAGATGAAAGAAAATCAGGTAGCCTTGATTAACAGATTGACACAAATTTCAATTATCTAATTTCCATTTCTTATCATACATCTCTAAGACACTTTACAGTGTAGGGATTGATTATAATAAATAATAACATCATTTGGTGCCGACTTTTATACACAAAGTAATGTCTTTAATTGTTTAATGTCTTGATTTCAATATCACTTTGATGTGTTCTGAGTTTTCTTTGATATATAATAATATGTTTAAGTGTGTATTTTTGATAAAAATTACAATCTGTATTATTTAAATGTATTACAGTAATTGTCCCTAAGCTGCGTGTTTCATTATCGTGTCATCCTCCATCTGAGTGTGCATTTTATCAGCAACTACAAATCACCTGATCTGCGTTACTTAAATTTAACAACCAAAAATTACAGCATGGGGCTAAGAAGATATAATTATCAGTGATGGTCCCATGATGCATGTGCTGGACATAACCGAAATGTTCAACAGAATGTAATTTAAAATGAGCATAATGGGATTATTGGTGTGAATTCAGAGAAGCAAGACATTTATTGGACTTCAAGATAACGCATGTGTTTATAGCAATTGGGACCGTAAATGAGCAAGGTATTCGAGATTTCCGTGTTCGAGATTCCTGGGATTTTTAAAATCATAAATATAGTACAAGAGGCCCATGGGCCTTATAGGTCACCTGAGCATTATGCAACAACTTTCCAGTGATTTAATTTGATTCATGTTTTAAACCAGATCCTATAGCGTTCACAATTTTGAAAGAGGCATAATTGATCATCATACCAATACACTTAGCAGTTGCTTAGTTTGTTTACTTAATACCCATAGGCAGGGTAAGGGAACAAAAAATTAATTTCAAGTAATCAGTAATATTCAGCAATAATCAGTAATTTACCCCTATCACACATTAACCCCTGACCCTTAGGCCTAGATCCACACATTGCACAATTTTTGAAAAGGCATCCTTGCTTTTCAAAAATATTTTATTTATACCAAGGAGCAGATTTCAAACAATTCATACAGTTTCAGTATTATAAGTACAGCCCCCCCCCCCCCCCATGGTATCCCTGATCATGGGGCCTTGAAATTCATAATTCTGGAAGATTAGGGCCCTTGCTCATCATAACTATATAGGTAGTTCATCTGCTTAATACCCAAGAGCAGAGAAGAAAACTTTCAAAGATTTAATGTATTTTCACTATATAATCAATAGAGCCCCGCCCTATCACTAGAACTCTGACCCTAGGGCCATAAAATCAAAATTTTGGAAGAGGTATTCTTGCCCATCATAAATATGTTCTTAGTTTATTTAATTCCTAGGAGCAGAACAGAAATATTTTCAAAGAATTCATGTACTTTCACTATGAAATCTATAGAGCACCGCCCTAACACAAGAACCTCTGACCCTGGGGCCAAGAAATTCAAAATTTTAGAAGAGGTATTCTTGCCCATCATAACTATGCACTTAGTTAGTTTATTTAATACCCAGAGCAGAGAAGAAGATTTTCAAAGAATTCAGGTACTTTCACTATATATTCTATAGAGCCCTGCCCTAACACCAGAACCCCTGACCCTGGGGCCATAAAATTCACAATTTTAGTAGAGGCACTCTTGCTCATCATAACTATGCACTTACCGTAGTTAGTTTATTTAATACCCAGGAGCAGAGAAAAAGATTTTCAAAGAATTCATGTAATTTCACTATATAATCTATAGAGCCCCATCTTAACACCAGAACCCCTGAGCTTGGGGCCATGAAATTCACAATTCTGGTAGAGGCACTCTTACTCATCATAACTATGCACTTTATAATTTTTTTTAATACCCAGGAGCAGAGAAGAAGATTTTCAAAGAATTCATGTAATTTCAATATATAATCTATGAGAGCCCCACCCTAACACCAGAACCCCTGACCCTGGGGCCATAAAATTCACAATTTTGGTAAAGGCACTCTTGCTTATCATAACTATGCACTTAGTTAGTTTATTTAATACCCAGGAGCAGAGAAGAAGATTTTCATAGAATTTATGTATTTTCACTATATAATCTATAGAGCCCGGCCCTAACACCAGAACCCCTGACCCTGGGGCCATAAAATTCACAATTTTGCTAGAGGCACTCTTGCTCATCATAACTATGCACTTAGTTAGTTTATTTAATACCCAGGAGCAGAGAAGAAGATTTTCAAAGAATTCATGAATTTTCACTATATAATCAATGAGAGCCCCACCCTAACACCAGAACCCCTGACCCTGGGGCCATAAAATTCACAATTTTGGTAAAGGCACTCTTGCTCATCATAACTATGTACTTAGTTGGTTTATCTTATACCCAGTAGCAGAGAAGAAGATTTTCAAAGAAATAATGCATTTTCACTATATACTTATTTAGCCCCGCCCTAGCACTAGAACCCCTGACCCTGGGGCCATGAATTTCACAATTTTGGTAGAGGACTCAATGCTGATTATCATCATGCCAATAGTTTGACTGCTAGATGTCCAGGAGTAAAGAAGAAGATTTTTAAAGATTGCATTAATTTTGGTGGTTTTGGCCCCACCCCTCAGGGGGGCAGGGGTCATTAATTTCACAATTTTTGTTCCCCTTCACCCATAGATGCTGTATACCAAATTTGGTTGAAATTGGTTCAGTGGTTTCAGAGAAGAAGCTGAAAATGTTCAAAAGTTTACGATCGATTGACGACGAACGACGACGGACGAAAACAGATAGCAATAGGTCACCTGAGTGACTCAGGTGACCTAATAAAACATTGGTCGGCCATTGTGGCCCCGCCCTAACCCTGGGAGTCATGATTTGAACAAACTTGAATCTACACTACCCCAGGATGCTTCTACATCAGTTTCAGCTTTTCTGGCCCAGTGGTTCTTGAGAAAAAGATTTGCAAAGATTTTTCCTATATATTTCTATGTAAAACTTTGATTCCCCATTATATTTTTATTTCTTACATTGCAGGAGGTGGCTTCTGGGACCTACCTGGGCATATTTTGACTTGTTTCATTTGTTCTCAATATGACACTTTTTAGGAGCCCATTTTGCTAAAAAAAATAAATAAAAAATCACAGGAGTAGCACACAGCCTATGATGATCTATAAAACTTCCTTGATTTTTGTTATATATGTATGCTATGAATAAAGATTTTTAAAAAAAAAAAATGTTGCTCTTTGTAGCAGTTATTTCATTGAAAACGTTTATATTCTTTAGATGTATGGGATACTAAAGAGTCTGAGTGTCTGCAGCTTATTAACTAGATATATGTACGCTGTATTTTCACAATTATAAAAAAAAAAATATGCAAGTATCATTGAAATCCATACAGAAAGTCACCCTTACAATTCTTTGTCAGAAAATAGTGATGCGCCTGTATTTCTATCGGTAGTTAGAATAATCTTACTGTGTCTCGGTCGGGACAAGGCCTCACCACAGAATCGTTCCGAAACGAATTTTAAGTATACAAAGGGATTTGCACTGGAAATAACTTCAAAATTAATTACAACAAATTTTTTTTTTAGGTTGCGTATGCCTTTAAACCTAAATTTTAATCCAAATAAAGACAATAATTCAACTAATATTCTCAATGGGTTTTTTTCTGACATGCCATGATTGCTTTCGGAACTCTCTGGAATCTTTGCGGATGCACGGAGTTCGAGTTATCGCCCGTGTTTCCATCGCGATTCCTGTATCATCACCACGTTTTTAAAAATAGGGGGTCGTAATCTTACAAGGAAACCGTCAAATAAGAACGATTTTTATATGTTTACGTTTTTTATTCACTACGTGAACAAGACAAACGGGATAACCAAATTTCTCTTCCGAAGCACAGATTTTCTTTACTGATTTTTGAAAGTGAAATAACCGGCGCCAGTGTACAAGTAGACGGTGAAATCGCCGGTAGCCGGCACTTAATGAGAACCCTGTTGGTATCTGACATATCAGTGTTCGAGATACCGAAGTTTACCTATATGATTATTAATAAGAGTTATCTCGCTTAAACCGCTGTAATTTTATTCAAAGGGCGAAAACAGTTTCAATAACCTGCATGCACGCTATGCATAACTTGCATAACTCCCTGTTGTCACCCTCTATATCCTGTGAGGTGGGGGTCATGATTTGAACAACTTTGAATACTGTATAGGGGATTAATTTCACGGGTTGTAATTTTCACGGTTTTTTCTCCTCTGACATGATCGCGGTTTGTTGAATTCGTGGAATCGGTATATAATAAAAGTTATCTCCCTTCTCTATATCTGTTTAATCCAGAACGACATTAATCAGCGTTAAGTATTCACCCCAAAAACAACAGGGTAGGTTTATATAAAATAGTTAGATTTAATAATTAATTGACGACTAATTAAAACAAGTGTAGTTAATAAAAGTCCTTGACTATAAACGTCGAATGACTTTCTTACATACTATTACCATGAGCGCATGTACACCCCAAGATCTTCTTTCTGAAGGGATAATACATCGCGGCGAAAAACCACTAGACGGTAAGAAATGTGTTAATGTAGGTCAAAGAAATAATATCCCTCCACATCTTCAGCAAGTTCAATAGTTATTTGAATGATTTTTTAAAAACAAAATGTCGATAAAAACTAATACGCATGATAATGCAGGTAACAAATACACGTGGTCACATAGTTATTCACGGGTAATCAAAATCCATGACCCACGTGTTATGATTGATGTATCGTGGGCTATTAAAACAGCTTTTAAACAAATACGGGTTTATTATCTACTGCTCTAAATTAAAGTAAAGCGTGATAATTAAAATAATTGTGCGACTCGTAATTACTGTAATGACCATGTAATACACGTACATGTATATATACCTATCGTAGTCTATTCTCAAATTTCCAAATATAACATGGAGGTTATTGAAAACTTATTCACTGTTTCTTGAATTCACAGATTTATTAACACCGTGAATATAGCGAATATTAACACCGCGAGTTATTTTCCCCCTATACAGTATCTATGCATGCACACGCCTGAGGAAGCGGCTCTTGAATGGGACATAAAACAACATAAAATCAATCAATCAAGGAACTCAATTTTTTTTCCAAGGAATATTTGTTTGATCCATTAAATTTCATCAAATCAATGTCCACTTGACCAATGATTTTCTTTTATTTCAAAAGCTGTGCTTAAAATAAAATTCACATTCGCAAGTTCTCAGCCTCAGAATTTCATGATTTTTTTATCATTGAAATATTGGATGATAATTACTGCAGTAATATCAGTGGTTTTGTATATATACTTACTGGACTTTAAAATCAAACAATTTAAGAAATTTTTCAAAGAGAAGTTGGTATTGAATTTCATATGGCAACTGGTTCTCTCTCTTTTTGGGCTGATGTATTCTCTGCAGAGTGTTAAATAGAAAATATCCAAACTCTTCACAGTGTTCATTGAACCTAAAATGCAAAAAAACAAAAATTAAAATTAAATAGAATGACTTTATTCCAGTTTACTGATTCAGAATGAATTTCCATTCTTGACCATGTTGACTTCTGATAATTTAAAATAACCTGATACCAATGGCATCCACATATGACCCTGAAGTACACTGTTTCCTGCACTCTTGATTTGGTCTTTATACAGGGTTTGACACTAACTTTAAAACAATAGTTGTCAGCAGGGCTAGCCATTTCTAATGTCTACTAGCCCTGTTCATGTATAAGTTGTCCAGCAGCTGAAGGCTGGTGGCCGAGTCGTGAAATGATGAGGAGGGTTGGTGCGGGAGGGGTCACCCCCTCCCGCTGGTGGGGGTACGGGGGCCTCCACCAGGAAATTTTGAAAATAGAAATGCCAAAT